GATTACTGTTCGCAAATAGTAAAGGATGTGGGCTGTTCTAGTTTTAGGGAAATGCGAAGTTTAGCTCAGGATAGGAAAGAGTGGAGGTACGTGTCCAACCAGTCTTAGGACTGATGACCTTATGATGATGAGAACTCTCCAAAATCCCCTCTGTCTCGGCGATGACTTCCTCGTTTGAGCTGAATTTCTTTCTCGCTAGTCATTTCTCCATGCTAGGGAACAAGATGAAGTCGTAGGGAGTCAAATCGAGTGAGTACGGGGTGTGCGGCAGCAAATTCATAACGTAATTCCTGCATTTTGGCGGCAACAACTCCTGATGAATGTTCCGGTGCGTTATCGTGTTGAAGACGCACCTTCTTTTTCGTCAAATGCGTTCGTGTCTCCTTTAATTTTTTGTCGAAGCGGTCCAATAACTCACTGTAGTATTGTCCAGTGATCGTTCTTCCTTTTCCTAAAAAATCTGTAAAATGATTTCCTCGGTAACAACGTTTGCCAGGCTTCCTGGTCGCTCCTATGAAAAACGGATCTTTTCCCACGTTTAAATTCGTTGAAGCAATATCTAATTGTGGTCGTAGATGGCGAAATGTCTCCATAAACAGTATCCAACTTTGTTTTCATCTCCTAGCATTTGTTCCCATCCAAAAACAAAAAGCGAGTTACCGAACGATACTGCTCTTTTTTCATCTTAGCGAAAATAACGAAACACGTCTCAGTCGAATGGCTGCCAAATCCAAACTAACCTATCAATCAGTCTGAAATTCGTTTTGACGTGGTTTGATAGATGGCAGCACACGATGACAGCACCAATTTCCCTCAGGAACGTCCTCTGTCTTCAAACACGGGTACTTATTGAACCGCCCTCGTATGTGTTAACAGGTTAATTATCAGTTGTCCTGATATGATGGGTTACTTGTGTGGTCGTAGTTAATTTTTGTTGATCGTAGCTAAAAATCAAGTTAAATTCTTTACAGTCTTGTAATTTATTTTTTTTCGCAATTATTCATGTGATCTAGTCTGAGCTGTTTAATTACGTCGCAATTTAAGTTGTCATCAATTGGGACTTTGTGAAAAGTGAAAACAATATAAAAACAGGAGATACAGCAATTGTACTCACGTTAGAAAATTCTCCCAATACTTGTGATCCTTTAGTCGAACGTTTCGTTCAGGAACTGTTATAGGGGATATAATATCACGGACATCCAAACGAACATTTATAAGGATCATAAGTGCCAATTCTTTAGAAATACGTTTTATATGAGACGTCGCGTTAAAGTGGCTTACCTAATCTGCTAAACTTTTATTATCCACAGCGCAATAAAAAACATTTTGGCAACAAACGGTATCAAATGCCACTACCGTAATGAATCCACTATTTGGTAGTACATGATCTAGCATCTCTCGAAGCAAACAGCAATTAAAGTCTAAACCTAAGCCTATTTAATGTTTTGTTTCGCATAATAATAATGTAATGTTCGTGGGGTTTAACAAATTAATTTTAAAGACTCACAACGACAAAAACAATTTATTTACACTAATTATTACTAAAGGACTCAAAAACACTATTAAATTATTACTAACTTAGGTAATTATTCTATTTATTTACACTACGGTAAAAGGCCCAGTTTCTGACACTCTAAGAGTGACAGCTGAGATTTTATTACGATAACTAAAATAATATTTAATTAGAATAAATAATTTTTATACTATAAACAAGTTCAGAGTTTCTAGAAAAACTCATATACGCGATATAATTATTTGAAGCGAATTAGTAATTTTAATTAATGATTTAAAAAGTGATGTTTGAAGACCCAGTTTCTGACACTTAAAATTTCTTGTGTTGTAGTTTCTGACACTGCCATCGGCCTAGTTTCTGACACTCATATTTGGTAATGATTCTCTCTCGGTTAAATTATGTATTATCAGGTTTAAATAAACTATAAGTAATTAAGTATTCATTAAAGATAAATTAAATATTTATTATAAGTAAGATATTGTTATTTTTAACAAAAATAATTAACTCCTGAAAATAACAAATAAAAATATGTATTTGTATCATCAATAAAATTTATAATTCAATTGAAAGTAAAAATTATCATAGTAATAATCATTTTAACACTAACAAAGATGAAATTTCTTTTACAACAATCATTTTCGTATTTGAAAGAATTATTTATAACAGTGAATATAATGTTTAGTTTATTCACAAAAATATTAAATGAATATTTATCGCTGTAATTACAGAAAATAGTATATCAAATCATAATAATAGATGGGAAATGTAAAAGCGTTTTTC